CTCACCTATGGCCCTGGGTTCCTCATTGAGCCTAGGCCCCTGGGTGGGTGCAATACCAGCAGCCTGGTATTGCTGACAGGAAATGGAAAATTACTGACCTCCGATTGGCTATTCACTCTAAAGGGCTAGATTTCCATCATGGGGTACTAAACTCCAGAGAAAGCCTGACCCTAGCCAGTCAGTACTTGATGGTTACTTAAATTTGGCAGCAGAGGCAACGTCATGCCCCCACTGTTTCTCTAGCTGACAGATGACAGCCCAATGTTAAATTGGACCCTAGATGTTTTTCTATTCTCTCCTGTAGGAGGTGATGTGGGTTTCACCTTCTGCAGCATATCTTACTTGATGCAGCAATGCTTATGTAATACTTATAATGGAAGAAACAGGGCATGGACAACATGACATTGAAGGATGCTACAGAGGTTTGTAACAGCTGGCTGCCAATGTACAGGTACAATATTCACAGACAAATTCACAATGTCTGGACTAATAATAGTCTATTCAGTTACAGAAGAAGAGCATGCTTCTACTGGTATTTCTTGCTTCAAATGTTCTGAATTATGATGAAGTCTGTGTCATTTTACCCTCAGGGGTATGAAGAATGCATACCATAATCTCATACACATCTCTCTTAAAGGTATACTGACACACTGACCATGAGTCATAACACAATAGTATGGATTCCATTATTTTCGAATAATTGATTTTAAGCTATTAAGCATGTCTCTCTTTCATTATGGTTTTGTCTCTCACTCTCTATGCTTTCTCTTGTTCCCCATCCCTGATGCCTTCTCTGTATGTCTGTTTCTTACACCTACTCTGTATGTGATTCACAACTTGTCTTTATTTCTGTCTATCTCCCTCACGGTCTTTCTCACACTTTGAATACCTTACAGCCTCACTTCAGTTTTCTTTGACTATTTGTTACATGTATTCTTCCCTTTCTTTTTCTCCATTTCTCTTTCAATCTTTTATTTGCTCTGTCTCCTTCTTTAATCTAGTTTCTCCTTAAACAGTTTCCTTTCAATCATTTAAGAAATACAACCAATATGGCTTTGTCAGAGGATTTGTGGGTTTAGAATCACCTCCAGGCCTTGAGCTCCTTTGTGTAGTGACCTACATCAGTTGCAAGGTATGGAGCATATGAGCTGCAAAGATCAAGATTACTGCAGCATGCTATGTTGCTTAGCTGGTGTGAAAACAGATGGTATGGGATTTCCACACGACCTGGAGGTTATGGTTACCACATCCAGGAACATTGCCCTGGATAAGACTTTGTTGAAGTTATTGCACCTTTAATCACTGTTAGTCATCTGTGGGAGTTTCCTGTTCAACCTGCTGTAAAAGTCCATTACTTTCTCTGAGAATATTGCGGCTTTTGAGTTTTTTTTTCTGTGACTGTCTTAAGAGGTTACATTTACGCTACATTTCAGAAAGCCACTACATCCTGTGTAGGATTCAGGAAAGAATGTGTGGCTTAAGATGTGACTCTGCTGCAGGCTCCACTCACCATTCAATGTTTAATTATTAGTCAATAGTACTGCTCTGAATTAGTATTCCAGGTCCCTTCTGAGTTCAAAAAACTGCCTCAAAAACAACCTCTCCTCCAGAACTTGAAACATAGGCTTGGACATTCCACCTTGAGTGTAACAGAATTGCAATAAATATCATGGTCATTTTATCAAATATCAAGTTACACCCAAGTGACGACCCAATCTCATTAGAATTCACCCTAATTTGAAATGGGCATAAATCAGCATGGACAATCAGGGTACAAGGAAACATGAATTCCACACCAGTTTATTTCTTCCTTGAATCTTAAAATCATAATTCAATGAATGTAACCATGGACCATGCATGTCAGGCACTGAGGGCGTAGCCTGGCCAGCCAGTGAATGACATTGTCAATGATGTGTCATTTGGGAAAATATAGTGTGATGAGCAGAAATGAGATTCTTGATATTGAGGAAAAATGTCCAATTCTCCGACAACATGTTGAATGGCAAGGCAAAAATCCAACTAGTGAGTGTTGAGATGCCTATTTGCATGCTGTTAGTGTCTAATCTTGCCTCATTGATGTGCAATTTCTGATTCTAAGGTATTCAGTAAGAGAAACTAGACAGTGAAAATTCCTGTCGTGGAAGTCAGAGCAGATTCCTGGTGACTCCAGCTTGTTGCTCACTCCTCTGCACTTCCATCATGGACACCAATCCCCAGCAGCCCAGGTTACCCTCCATGGGCATTGACTGTCTCCATCACTCACGCACGGAGAATGGCATTGGATACATACCAGCCTCTCTACATCCTCATGGCCCATCTCCAAGTCCACTGAAAATACTGTCTGCACTTCAGAGCTGCACTTTGGAGCATACTAGCAACTTTCATTGTAATACAGCTGCTGGGACAATTTGCACCTAACTCATGGATTTAGTACATGTCAGGCTTCCAGGCTGGCTTCCTAGCCCTCACTCACTTTGCACCTACTCAGATGCTCACAGCATCTTGCCTTACCCTGCCTTGCCAATTTGTGCTGTGCCTCCTCATTCAGAACTTAAATGCTCACAGTCCTTCTACCATTGCCTTGCTGTTTAGCACAGACACAAAGCCAGGCAGCCTGACATGATTGTCAGCGGTGATCAAGGAGGTGGACATGTGTAGCACCATGGTACATCAATGTAGCCACATACCAGCCAGCAACTTATGTGGTAAACACACTGCATATCCTTCAACAAAATGGCCATGTTTCAATGTCAGTGGGGAGTAGTCCTCAGTCAAGTCAAGAAAGACAGCCTTGCCTTAGGAAATTCCGGTACAGTAAACCAAGAGTAGTGTCCGATCTCAGGTCAATGGCTGAGATAGGGTTATTCAGCTGCTAGGGGTGGTCAGGATCAGGGAGACTGTATCACTACTGTCCGGAGAGTGGGCCAATATCAGTCCTGCAGGTCCAGTGCACCAACTGCAAGGATTTGTGGTAAGTCAGTCAGCTGCACAGAGATAATTCAGAGGCCTAGCCACCTATCAGGGCTGCCTGACCAACTTCGTCAGCGGGGTGCGCCATGGTCTGTTCTGATGGTGAGCTCAGTGACAGTTAATAAGGATCATTGATGTCACTGCTGTGGCAGGGACATTGGCGAAATCAAATGTGTGAATGCTGGGATATAGACAGGACAATAATTGTGAAGGGGGAACGGTGTGGGGCGGTGGGGGACAACTCAATACATAAGATGGAAGGTGATACCACATTGGTTGTTATGAGTTACTGAGGGTCAGTGTGGCTAGGTAATTGACATTCACAACCATCCTGCCTTTAACAAGAAGACAGTATAGCATAATATTTGGCATGACTAAGGTATAAGGCCAGAGCTAAGAGGGTAACATCGGGAGATGAAGCCATAATTCAAAGAGGTGTGTCGGAACATGCTCAGTACTGATGGGTTCAAAAAGGAATGCAAGGAGAAAAGGAATGTGGAGGTTTAGAGTGGCCAGGTCCTTTGATGACCAGGCTGACCCTGTTTCTTTGTGCTAAGCATGACTTGCATTGTCTTCCATACTCATGCTAGTTGTAAATGTGCACTGGAAGTGGAAAATGGATGTCACCACACCCAGAGAGGGCTGAATAAAGTAACTTATTCTGTTTGAGCACATGAATTCTACTTCTGAGCAAAATTAGGCTCTTCAAGGGGTAATTGCATTAATCAGGTGTTTTCACAGTACAGGCTTAGACATCTGTAATCATAGTACTCTGCATGTGAAATACATACAGCGTCCAATGGTGCAGGATACTAATCCTGGCCACAAGCAATCGTCAGCATCTCATTGTAGAGTGCAGATAGTCATATCCATGAAGCAGAATTAGCCACAGGAGACAGTCCATGATCACATAAGCTATACAAGGTCACAAACCTCTCACTTTGAATGGTAAGTATGCATGAACATGCTCTTATATGCAATGCTGCCTTTCTTGGGAGGGAGGTGGGAATACAAGGTGTCAGTAATTCTACTGCATTTACAACCTCCTGCTGTATTTGCATGATGTAGCTTTAGTGGCATTCATTGTAATAAGGTCCGTCTGTCAAAGGTCCAAGTAGAGGCATTCTATAGTCCTCTTGATAAGAGTCCCCTAGCACCATTGTATAGAGGAGGATGCTAAACTGTCGTATGTGTGTGATGCACCTGCTGACTGCTCACATTATTAAGGAGCAGTTCTGTTTCTGACATTCCCCACACAGGATCATTAGAACCATGACCAATAGATACAGCCACAGAATGGGTCATCATCGCTGTCTCTATGGTGTGGTCGAGGTCCCAATTGTTTGATTGTCCATCAATGCTTTCCCAGCATTTTAAAATCTGCTGGCAGACAAATTATTGTTGCTAGTAAATATGTATAATAATCTACTTTGTGAACTTTGCAGTGACTTTTTTCCAGCTGAGCAGCTGGGTGGGCCATGCCAAAAAGCATCAAAGTCAACCACATCATGTAGAACTGAAGTTGAATGTTAACCAGACTGGGTCAGGGTAGAGATTCCCTTTCCTCACAGGCATTAATGAACTTGATGACATTTTACAATAGTGATGTTCACCTAAATTTATTTAATTCTATTTCACATCATTGTCAAAGTAGGATTAAAAATCATGACCTCCAGGTCCCTAGCCCCGTATCACAAACATTAGGCCATCATACAGACAATCATAATAATTGCGATTATCCGTAACATAACTACAGATAAAACCATAAAATTCAACAAAGATAAACTCTGAATTTCAGTCACAACTAATTTCTTTCAGAGTTATTCAGTCTAAACTGGACCATTTGTTAAAGAAGCACCATCATTTCTGATTTTTGTCTTTCCGCTATGTATTTCCTGTTTATGTTTAACCTAGTGAAACCTTTCTCTCTCTGTTTCCTGCCATATCAGAACCATCTCTGCCTTTTTTGAATACAGTACATATTCTATCTCACAGTTAAAAATAGTTGCTGATGAAGGGGTGCAGATAGTAATAACTTATTTCCTGACTCAGTCACAGCATTCGGAACATTCAGATGTTAGTTGAGAAGTGTCCTCTTGAGTTGTGAGGTGAACATTTGGACAGGACTTTGGATTAAATCTCCTCATCCTTGAAGAAACCCTTCCTCATCTGTCAGGTACAGTTGTAATTTTCTATTGCCTGGGACAAGACTTGGTTCTTGCCTCATTTATGCACATACACTTACAACTGGGAAAGCAGATTGCGTTAGTAGTTTTTCAGCAGAGAAGTGTGCGACTACACTTGCAATGTACAATTATATGTATGAACGCTTTCATTCGTAACCACAGAAAATATGTAGAGACAGCATCTTAAGCATTTTTACATGGCTTCACTTTTAGAGAATGAGGTGGAAGCATTTTTATTAGAGAATGCTAAAGTGTAGAGAACATTATACTAAGGGAAGATGTTCAGGTAAGAAACCATGTACATGTTATGTACCTTAACATTGTAATTGTGTTTATGCTGATAATAACAATTTCTTTCAATATCACGTTAAGATGAGCTACAAATTGAAAACTTTATGCAATACGTTATAGAGTCATAGAATCATACAGCACAGAAACAGACCCTTCTGTCCAAACAGTCCATGTCGACCATAATCCCAAACTGAACTAATCACGTCTGCCTGCACTTGGCCCATATCCCTTCAAACCTTTCCTTTTGATTTACTTATACCAGTGTCTTTTAAATATTGTAATTGTACCCACATCCAACACTTCCTCTGGAAGTTCCTTCCACACACAAACCACTCTCTATGTAAGAAAGTTGCCCCTCATGTCTTTTTTTAATCTTTCTCCTCTCACCTTAAGATTATGCCCCCTAGTCTTGAAATTCCCCCAATCCGAGGGAAAAGACAAACAGAGTTCTGTTAATGGACCTTTTGGAGAGGCCCACTCATGGATGGCCCAGTTTTTTTAAATTTTTTTTTGTTCTTTTGAATTTTCCGTTAGCAAACAGGAAAGTTGTGTGTCGCTGACTAGGCATTGTGTAATGCCCATCCCTGGTATCCTGATCAGTTCTTACAAGTGAAAGGCTTGCTGCACTACTCACAGAAAGCAGTTAAGAATTAATAATATTGGTGTATGAACAGAGGCACATATAAGCCAAACCAAATAAGGAGGTCTGGTTTACTTCCTGAAGGACATCAGTAAACTGGTTTTCTCATGAAATTCTGGCAACTCAACAGCCAATTTTTCTTCACATTTCTCAATTTTTTTAAACTGACCTCAAAACCTCAAGCTGCCACGATGGAATTTAAAACTACGTATACTGTCCAGGCCACTCATTATTGGGGCAGTAATATAACTACTGAAGGTCTTCTGATGCAGTAGATAGTATCTCTGCCTTTGAGCTCAGGTTGGAAGATGTGTTCATCAAGTGGCCATGTTCTTTTAACACATGCCAATGGCAACCGGTGAGAGCAGGGGAGAATCCTGGTCAGCAATGTGATGGAAAGGATGTTGGAATCTCTGCAAACATTATCCATAACTCCAGACTAGAACATGCTTGCCACAGCAAATGGGACTTCCTGAGGGGACTGTAACACGTCATCACCAATATTGTGACTACACTACTATAACCTTGAATAATAAATCATGGTAGGCAGGAATCTTGAATGGACAAATTCAGGAGCAGTGTGTAGTGCTATTGGTTTACCAATGTGATGGCATTCAGGATCTGTCTCTTTGTGTTTCCCAAGATTGGCCAGGCTGATTGGCAAAGGTGGAAAATTACAAGAGCCATCCCATCATTGCATCCATAGTCCCATCAATAACCAACAGCTACTTCCAAAGGAGGAAGGGCCAAACAGCAGTCATAGTTCAAGAATCATTAATTGAGAAGCATAATTCACAAAGCATACAGCAATAAAAATGTGTCTAGTGTTATACAGGCTGCATTGTTTTTTTTAAAATCTGTTTTACATGAGAAATTATAGGATGACCAATATGCAGTCATATCTGTAATTTTAGGATTAAGGATTACTTTAGAGTATTACAGTGAGGCTGTGTATGAAAAGGATTGTCATTCAATGGCTTCTGCTGCAATTAGGTTTCTTTGTATTTGATTGGTTGGATCTTAGCATTAATTCCTGATGTATTTAAACAATCCAGCCTGATTTAGATTAATAAAGGCCAAACATTTTTAAGATCAAAAATTTAGCCGTTGACTCAACAATCATATCCCTTTGTGACTGGTCAAGTCAACATATCCCTTCTCATCATATCTTTAACTTCTTTAATCTTGACAAAGTAATCTGTTTGCCTCATGAACCTATTTACGCTTCAGTGAGTTTCCAACTTATTGCACAATTTTATTTTAGTCAAAATGTTGCACTGTATTTTCCTTTTTACATCTAACTTCCTAATTTCTATTGAATACGAATAGTTATTTGAGTCCTTCACTAAATAGGAATATAGGTGCAGAAATATTCCATATAGCTCCTCAAGCTTGGTCCACCATTTAAAAAGATCACAGGTGAGCTTCGATAAAATCTTCACTTCCTCTGCATTGGTTGTGATGGCATCCTAGACTAATACACAGACTAATTGGGCCAACATTTACACGGGTAACACTAACTGAATTAGCCATGATCTGTTGAGATGGTAGTTCTAATAATGAAAACTTTTAAATGCAGCTAACCTTTCCAACTATTTTTCCCACATCTCTCAATTCACTCAGTGCCCAAAAGCTATTGATATTAGCCTTAAATATACTCATTAATTGAGCATGCGCAGTCAAGTAGAAAATTCCAAAAGATTCACATCCCTCTGAGCGAAAAAATAACTCATCATCTTAGTTTTAATTGGTTGATTGCTTAATCCTGAGACTATGACCTCTAGCTCCAGACTCTCCTGCCAAGGTAAAAAACATCTGAGCAATATCCTCTAAATTTTTTATACATTTCAATTAGATCAAGTCTCATTCTTCTAAACTCCAGATAACACAGGCCAATTTCTGTTCTTGGGCATCGGTAAACCTTTGTTGTATGCCCTCTAAAGTCACTATATCTTTCCTTAAGTAAAGAAACCAAAACTGTGGACAATAATCCAGACGCCCCACATAATAGCAGCAATATTTCCTTGATCTTATACTCCAACCCCTTCAGGTAAAGGCTGACATGTTATTTGTCTTCCTAATTGTTTGCAATGCCTGCAAATTAGCTTTCTTATACATGGATGTCTAATTACCTTTGAAAAACAACATCTGGTATATTTTTATCCTTAATAAATAGTCATTTTTTCTATTCATCATGCCATTCAACAGAACTCATGTTGCCCCCCATTATTCCCCATCTGTTCCCTTATTTTCACTCACTTAGTGCAGTGTAAACTCCTGTCCCATCCTTCTTTCCAATCTAACTGTGCTGTTAGCAAAAATAATAACTTACATTCATATCCTATCATCTAAGCCATTGATATAGGTTGTAAACAGCTGAGATCCAATTACTGAGCCTTACACCACTCCAGTAGTTATACCTTGCCACCTGAAAATAATCATTTATTTCTACTCTCTGTTTTCTGTCCATTAACAAATGCTTCAATCAGTTTAATATTTTGCCTGCAATCATGTATTAATTTCTTTACATGAAATCATAGCAAATATCATCTGAAAATCAAGATATGGCTCCACATTACTCTCAAGCTCAATGTTATATTCAATCATATTATGATCATTCTTCTCAAGACCAGTTTTAAACATGTGTGCTGTGGTGATTGAAACCTTTACATCTACGAGAAAATTACTAAATAATCATGTTTCAACATGCAATACAAAACTGAAATATACCGTTCCCTATTAAGTTATTAAGTCATTTTCTTATCTCTGTTGTAATTTTAAAATATGGACTGATGACATTTTTTGTTTTGCCAGAAGATCCTAAGTAATAAACTTTACCTCTGTTATACCCTATTTAGCAATGCTAATTGAATACTGGTTTATTTACAACTTATATTTAACTGGAATTACTATGACAAATAACTTAGTAAAATACAGTCTTGCTCCACATATTTTCTGATCTGCAGGTGTTATGGGGGTGGAGCTATTTTTAACATTTAATTTCTTCCTTGTAAAAATCTGAAGCTGCGCTGCTGCTATTTTATATCTGTGGTATTAGTCATATAAGGAAATGGCAATCACTGTATCCTTCATCTGAGATAGTAGGGGTAAGTCCACAAAATCCTAAGCATCAGTTCTGAGGAAGGGTCACTGAACCTGAAAAGTTAACTCTGATTTCTCTCCACAGTTGCTGCCAGAGTTGTTGAGCCTTTCCAGCAATTTCTGTATTTGTTTCTTATTTCCAGCATCCACAGTTCTTTTGGTTTTTAATCCTAAGCATTATTCCTCTCTGTCACCAGTACATAGTGATAACATTGTGCACCACTTAAATGATGCACTGGAGCATCATATCCACACCACCTGACAAACTTAGAACAACAAGGCAGAACATACATGGGAACACTATCACCTGCAAGTTTTCCTCCAAGTTACACACCATTCTGACTTGCCGTTTCTTCACTGTTGCTGGAACTTCGAAATCCTAGAAGTCTCCCTAATAACACTGTATCTACATCATATGGACTTCAGCAGTTCAAGAAGGTGGTTCAAGGGCAACAAATGATGAGCAAGAAACACTGGCCTTGCCAGTGACACTGACATCCCATGAAAGGATACAAAAGCAATTGATAATAGTTCTCACAAACAGTTTAACCTGAGAACTCATGGGTATGCCTGTGATTTCCTGTCAGTGCTGCTTCCAACTGGAAATTCCACATCACAGAACCTGTCCAGACAGAGGGAGCTGTAAGTGCTGGAGATCTACAGTTTAAAAATACAAGAGGTTAGAAATATACAAAAGGACTGATTTCACAAATACCCACTACTGGCAGAAAGGTTTTAATCCCCACAGAACATATGTTTAAAACTGGTCCTAGCAGCGCAAATAGCAACAAAAAATTGGTTAACATTTCACATTGTGCGATATGAGATAATGTTGCATATTGTCAGTATTGCTGTGCTCAGTTGGGTGCTATCATGCTAACGATTGTTTAAAGTTGAACTGGTATGTTCACAACTTCAACACCCTCTTTGACCCCATGTTTCATATCCTGTCCTTCA